TACAAACGTGTGAATATTCAAGTCTTACGTACAGTATCCACAGGGACTCTAATTTGAACAATGTGTGCTTTTCCATTCTTAAAGTTCTTCATCATACCTGATTACTTTCCATTTCAATGATTTAATTTAGTAATTGTTTCTAATAAGTAAACTTTCTCTCCTCTGCCAAGTTGGTGTTTATAATTCCAAGAGATCATAAACCCTTACCTAGCTGCATGAATATATGTATAGATCCCTTTAAAAGTAATGCTGTGGCCATTGAAAGCATAAAATATTACTTGTTTAGCTCTTCAGATTTGTAGTATATAAATTTAATGTATCTCTGTGTTTAGTGTAGCATATTCATGCCTACAATATCTTAATAATCATATATCCCAAGGGATCTGTTAAAAAAACACACATGGACAGGGCTGATTCCCATGTTTTGTAAACTTGCATGGCTCTATCAGTATCTTTGATTCTGAAGACTAACAAACTTAACAGTTAGTTCAACAGGAGTTGCCTCCAGCTCTAACTCTGGTGTCCTGGTCCTGCTCCAAATAGGCATTATGCCAGGATGTGGAGCAGACTGCAGGTGCTGATGGATGATAGTCCTCTGTCACTAGACAAGAGCTATATATCCTACTTCAATTATTACACCACTCAGTAGCATTAATATAGTTAAACTTGGGATTTTTCTGGATCCTATCACAGTTGTGGAAAATTTATTGACTTTCCTTTCGTGAGGTTAACAGTTCTTTTTTCTCTGCACCTCAGAGTCCAGACCAGTATTTCCTTTGGACATCCCATCTGCAGTCTCTCTTCATGGTTCGTCAGCAATATGCAGGTGGCATGCATCAGCTTCTCTGTAGATGCAAGCACCACCAGTCTCTTCGGGTGTCTGAACAAGGTCTTCACTGTTCAGAAATCCAGATGACTTTTCCATCACTGCAATGCATAGTGATAGTTTTTAATATTCAGAGAATGACTTTCATTTCCAGGATGCTCTGCAAATGGTACCTGTGTATCCTCTCAGTGCTCACGTGATATGCGAAAGCATTTCATTCTCAATTTAGCACATCAGGAAACTGAAGCAACTTATTCAAGAGGACAGAGAAAGTAAACTTGATTCTGGTAAAAGCTGTTCATGTCTTTGATAGTTTCAGTATTGACTTAATTGATTGGCAGGGTTTGGATTAGTGCCCGCACAATATGGAATTAGATTTCAAGAATTATTGACTGAGTCCTCTTCAGTATACCTCAGCACAGTCACCTTCTGGAGGCACGGAGTCCCAGAACACCTAAAAGGATGTTTCCTGAGTGTTGCTCTCCCCCTCCCCCAACAGCACTCTGTTCGTGCTCTTGTAGATTGATTCCAGTTGTAAAAGAAACTGATGACAAAGCCATGTACTTATTTAACACAGGCAAAGTTACTTAGAAAGTCACATTTCCTTGGATGCCGCAGGAATTAATGGCAAATAATTTTCTTCCACTTTCTTCCACTTCCACAAACTTGCTTTGATTGGCATGCAACCTAAAAGCTCTCCCTCCCAGCTCCCTTTTAAGGCTATGTTCATGGTGTTTGTGGACATGAGTTTCCTTGTTGCTGTCTCTCTTAGATTTGTTTTTCTCTGTATCTGCATCTCTGCCAAAGGAGTATTCAGAAAACTGCACCTTACTGAAACCTGCCATCTTTTCTTGGGTGAGAGCATGTGTCTGTGTTTTGGGCAGAGTTTGCTGTTGTTTCAGTTCACTACTCCTGTAGAGAAGCTGAAATGTATCTAGTAGTTATCTTAAAGAGAGAACAGCAATGGTTAAACACAACTTGTGGTGGCAGTTGCCAGACGACAATGTTTTTCCTTGACTGTCACATGGGGCCTGAAAGAGGCATGCGGGACAAGGAGAACATCATCTTGTACATTTCCAGCTGCTCCATCCTTGCCTCAGAAATGCTGTGGGTCTACTATGGATATTGGATTTAATATGAAATTTTGTATCTGGCTAGGACTGTAGCTAATCCTACATTTGTCCAGAGGGCTGGACAAGATGCCTCTCTCGGCATCTTTCCAGTGCCAGTTTTCCCTGATCTTAGGAGAGGACCGGTATGACACAGTGCATTGAGTGCTGTTGTGGTGCTCTGCTTTGCATGATGCTGAGCTCCACAGGCCCCTTTAGCAGCCAATAGTAACGATGGACGTCCACCCACAGCAGGGGCGTGCTGCACAGGATGGACCGCTGTGACTGTCAGAAGTCTGACTCTTAAAAATGAGACCAAGCAAAACAGCATAGCCTAAGGACTTCTTTGAATTGTATGTTGCCCTTCTACCTCTGACTTTATCTCCCGGCATTCACTAACCATGAATATTTAATACAGCCACCACTGCATCCTGTGGAATAAATGAGAGACTCTGAGTTTCAAAGCTTAATCTGAAAAGCAATGCATACACATCGATATTGAAAAAAGGCATCACACCCAGAGCAAATCCTTTTTCATAAGCCCACTTATTAAAAAAAAAAGTAATGTAATATCATGAGTTTTCATTAATACTAGTCTTCAATAAGCCTAAAGCAAATCCTTACTTGCTGTGCGCTTGCTACGGTTGTTGTACAGAACTGCCAGAAAGTGATGAAGGCTCACAGTCAGTGCGTGCAGAGCAGGGAGCGTACGGCCAAGACAGATACAAGCTCTATTGAAGTAGAGGTTCTCAATCCTCAGTTGTCTTTCCCAGAGAGTAAAATTATGATAAGTTTCACAGGAATCATAATGCTAGTTTTCAGCCCCCACAGAGTGCTTTACACCTACAAAGGGTTATAAAAATGTGAGCTAATCATAGAATCATAGAAACATAGAATGGTTTGGGTTGGAAGGGACCTAAAAAATCATTGAGTTCCAATCCCCCTGCCATGGGCAGGGACACCTTCCTCTAGACCAGGTTGATCAAAGCCTCATCCAACCTGACCTTGAACCCCTCCAGGGCTGGGGCATCCACAACGTCCCTGGGCAACCTGTTCTGGTGCCTCACCACCCTCACAGTAAAAAATTTCTTCCTAATATCTAATCTAAATCTACCCTCTTTCGGCTTAAAGGTGTTACCCCTCGTCATATCACTACACTTCCTGATCAAGAGTGCCTCCCCATCTTTCCTGTAGGCCCCCTTTAAGTACTGGAAGGCAGCTCCCTGGAGCCTTCTCTTCTGTAGGCTAAACGACCCCAACTCATTCATCCTGTCCTCACAGGGGAGGTGCTCCAGCCCTCTGATCATCTTTGTGGTCCTCCTCCGGACTCACACTCCAACAGGTCCATGTCTTTTTTATGTTGGGGGCCCCAGAGCTGGACACAGTACTCCATATGGGGTCTCACAGGAGCAGAGTAGAGGGGGAGAATCACCTCCCTCGACCTGCTGGTCACACTTCTTTTGATGCAGCCCAGGACATGGTTGGCTTTCTGGGCTGCAAGTGCACACTGCCCACGCATGTTGAGCTTCTCATCTACTGACACCCCCAAGTCCTTCTCCTCAGAGATGCTCTCAATCCATTCTCTGCCCAGCCTGTAGTTGTGCTTGGGGTTGCCCCAATCCAGGTGCAGGACCTCACACTTGGCCGTGCTGAACTTCATGAGGTTTGTGTGGGCCCGCCCCTCAAGCGTGTCCTAATCCTCACCACTAGGTGAGTATTATTGTACCAGTTTTGCAGATGCAGAAATTAAGATACAGAAAGGTCAGCAGGCTGACACAGGATCACATAGCTTCTCAGCAGCAGATTTAGCATGAAGAAGTAGCCCTCTCTGTTCATATCCAATTGATCATGCTGCCTTATAGCAAATGTAGCTTAAAAATTCCTGAATACATATGTATAAAAAAAAATCCTAAAGAGTTGTTTCCCTCTTTGCTTCTTCAAAACAAGCTATGAAACCCTGTGTTTACACGTATCATTAAATATTTTCCAGTTACTAGCCAGAAACTCACCAGAAAACCTGTATAACACCAAAGTAATGCTCTTCTTTTAAATAATTGATGATGCCAAATAGCAGCAGTGTTATGCCAACAAAGAGATCGGTCTCTCAAAATATTTTATTCATTATGCCTCAAGAAACCCAAAGCTGTGTTTTTAATGAAAGCAAATTTCGGAAGTTGGCTCTCAGTTCATCTGAAACATCTGCTTATTACAATTCTTGGTGTTACAGCACTGGTGCTCCCCAGTAAATCTTTCAGTTTTAAATAATATGTATGTAAGTCTTGGCAAAGAGATCAGGAAGGAGAAAGAGTAACATTTGCCAAATATGCATTTTACTTTATGGGCCTGTAGTGATATATTTTAATAATACATGTGTTGAAGAGACTCTACTAATCCGATTAAATAACAGGACAAGAAGGAATTAATTCCAAGGTTCAAAAAGACCCCATTCTATGCAGCTGAAACTTTATATTCCAGGATAAAATGGTTAGAAGTCTTGGCTAACTACACTTCTATAAAACAGCCAGAAATGGATCTTTCTCTTTAGTGTTCATAAATCAAGGTCACTTATGTGAGAAGCCCATGTTGTGATAAATCTCTCTGACAATTAGATGGAGAGGGCATATCGATGTTAAATTATATTCTCTGTATGCTGTGGTCAGAAGGCAATGTAAACACCACAGTAGCATTATGAAACACAAAATTGCATTCCAGATAATAACAGATATTCATGGTGCGTGCTTTTACACTTTAATACGCTGTGTTTTACTCAGTCATATTAATATCTTAAATTATGTAACATTCCCTTCTTTATGCATTTTTTTTTTTTTCACTGAAAATGTACCTCCCTCTCCCTTTCCCTCTCACTTTCTTTCTCTCCTCCCTATTGCTCTGCCTTTTGGCTTTTCTGTTTTTCCTTTTCCCTTCTACTTTTTTTTTTTTTTTTTAAAAGCAATGCTTGGGGGGAAAAAAAAAAAAAAAGCCTAAAGCAAAACTGTCTGTGTAAGAAAACAGTAACAAGTAGTTTCAAGATTTATAAGCCAGAATTTGATGTTATATATTTACAGATTCAATCTGTGTACCAGGATTTGATCCAAGCCTTAGCATGATGACTGGAATCACTCCAATTAACCCAATGATACCAGGCATGGGGTTAGTGCCGCCACCACCACCAACAGATGTGCCTGTAGTCAAAGAAATAATTCACTGCAAAAGCTGCACGCTCAAAAAAAGTAAGTGGATCTGATGACAGAATGTTATTTTCATATGGTGCATGAAAAATGTTTTATCTAATAGAAATTAGTGGTTTTAAATAGAGTGTAGACAAGCGTGGTGTTTCCTTCTAAGGTCTACTCTGTGTGTAAAGCATAGTATGGTATCAGAGCATATTTATTCATCTCTGTAAGGTCGTGTAAAAAACCTACTCAGTTTGTACAAAAAAGAAAAATAATTATTTGAACAAAGCTAACAGAGCCTGAAGGTCTACATTTCTCATAGTAGAAATCTGTCTTTCCTTTGGATCAGAATGTCACAAAATATAACAATTATACATATGGTGTTGAACTTCTCTGTGCTCCCCTTCAGGTGCCCACAGTTAGATGGGACCAATCTGGGCTCATGACCCTGAACACAGCACCTAGAAGCCAAATTCTGACTAGCTCTGGTCCCTACCTGGGGATATGGAGGAAAAGGGGGAGTGTGGCTCTCCTCTTGCCATTTTTTAGGGGGCAGCATGGCAGATGAGTTCCTTCTCCTCTTTGAGAGCAGGGACTAGGCTTCCTTCTGCTTCTTCTGGGACTTTATGCAAATGGAAAACTCTTATGACCAACTCACCAGCTCAGGCACAAAGCCCAGTTTTGTGTATGTTAGCCCCAGGAATTTAGCTTCAGAGCCAGAGCCATCAGACCAGCAGCTTTCACTATCACTGTGAAGACAAAAGAGAAAATTAAGCAAATAGTCTGGTGCTCTGGATTTGCCATGTACCCAGATCATGGTTTAATCAAACTGACTGTGTGTGTGAATATGTATATATATGTATGGTTTAAGGTTCTAACCCTATTTACTGTGTTAAGAGACCAAAACTAAGTCATATCAATCAGATTCCTTCTTAGGGAATTACTTTTAGAGGAATGTTCTAGTAATCTACATATAAACAAGGTGAAGTTTTATGACAGAGTATATTTTTTATACAGCCTTCAAAAATTCAATAGTTTTCTGATTTAAGTGTCTATATATGCTATTATACATTTACATAAAAATAACATTTCTAGCCACTCCACCTCATGAGCACTTGTAAACAGTGAGGTTATCCTTCCCATGCGTTGCTGTCCGCTCCATTATCTGGCAACAAGACAAAACAGATAACTAGCAGAGCATTTTCATCATGCTGTCACTTTGTTGTGTTTCCCACTTTGTTTTTCTGTTTGCTTTGCTCCTGTACTCTGAGACAGAAATTAAATTATGCTAAGACCAGGCAAAGGTGTCCATGCAGCCCGAGTGCCCAGGGTGTATGCAGCACAGGTTGGCTTGCAGGGGGCCCACACACTTGGCGAGTGTGACAAGTGATGGGTATGAGCCAGCAATGGTAACATTCAGAATTTGAATGTACTGGACCAGTGCTTTAGATGTGTGCTCAGGTTCTAATCTGTTGCAGAAGCTCCCCTGCTTTGACATACAATATTTTCTATTTCTTGTGTGATGACGCAGGGAAAAGAAAAATTCTTTTAGACCTTACCGTCTGTCCTGGAGAGCAACCCAAAGTAGCATGAATTAATCTCTGAAATGCCACCTAAAACTTGAAAAGGTTTAGATTCAAGTAATCAGTTTTGGACAATCTCTGCAATATTCAATTATTTTGCTTCTCCCTCTCTCCCACCTCCGTGCTATGTCAAATAACTGTTGCTGCCCAGAACTGATTAGGAGAATTAATAGAGCCAATGCATCAAAAGACAAATTTTGTATTCCAATGTGATTTCTGTTTTGACTTAGATCTTCCACCACCTTCAACAAGAGAGAGACCTCCTGGGTGTAGAACAGTGTTTGTTGGAGGATTACCAGAAAATGCAACGGAGGAAATTATTCAGGAAGTCTTTGAGCAGTGTGGAGATATAACAGCAATTCGGAAAAGCAAGAAGAATTTTTGTCACATTCGTTTTGCAGAGGAGTTCATGGTTGATAAAGCCATTTACCTTTCTGGTACTTCACATTCTTTAATGGATTTTCCTTGCTTCTCATTTGTATTTTGTGATGCTAATGTTTGCTTATTTTCTTAGCTTTTATCTCAGCAAGCCTTTCTTGAGCTCAGTGGCTGTAGCTTGGAGTAGCAAGGGGCAATTCTGTATTTCTCTGTGTCTGCCAACACTTGTGTGAGGTTTTGTATGTTGCTTACCCAGGAGCAATTTCCTGCCATCCCACAACAATGCAACAGATCCTGAAATTCACTACAGAACAATCATGTTTTTGATTTGCATAAGTTTATATAGTTTTGCTCACAGGTTGTGGAAAGAGGAGGGCACTAGGCCAGGTATGCTGCTGTTTTCCAATGCCAGTTTCTGTGATAGGCTGGCAATTTCATTGGCATATTTTTATAGATTTGCGGTGCAGCCTGAATGAAGTCTGCCTTTATGCATGCATGTATTCAGCTACAGCATGGATTAGATTCTGAGCTCCATCTGTAGGCTACGTCTGTTGCCTCCCAGGACAACAAATGCCACAGAAACTCAGGTGTAAAATTTCAGAATCTCTTTTATTTTCTAACAAAGGAACAAAAAAAATAAAACTACCCCAAGGGGAAAAAAAAAGAAAAAATATTTAAAACAGTTCTGAGTTTCTGTATCAGGCTTCAGTGACTGTCAGTGCCCTCTTAAGGTTACAGGCTCCTTCATATGAGGATGGGCTTCCTAACTGAGCCTTCCTTCACCTTCCTGAGCCAAATCCCATCCCTGTATGTATTTATCACCACAGGCTGGTTCGTCTCTCTTTCTATGTCCTGCGGAGACCCATAAGCTTTGTTTTCCCCCACAAGTGCAGTGCAACACTTTCACCCTCACATGCAAGGTATTCTCAAAAAAACAAGGGCCAGAGACTTCTTGGCCAAGACAAGCTGACACAGACTAGCCTACAGCCACACACCCTATGTAGGGTGATCTCAAGAGGACACACTGGGACCACCCAAAATGAAGCTAAGAAGGCAGCTAACAATTAGGGAGAGCTTGTCTGAGCTCACAGCCTCCTGGCCATCTTCTGTTTAGCAGTAAGGACATAACCTCAGTATCCCATGGGTGTCAACTGGAGGATCACACAGCTAGAAACAAGGTCTCTCAAAAAACCATCAACTACATCTTCAAATTGAAGAAAAAAAGAAAGGAAAAGAACATCTGAACTTTTGAAATTGTGTGGTCAGGAAAAACCTATCTCCTTTGTTTCACAAGGGGTTTTGTGCTTGGATTTTATTGGGTTTTTTTTCTGATTTGGCTGATTGCTTTAAATATCTGTTGGAAGAGCTACAGAGAATTGTGAGGTTTTTGAGGTCTGTATAAAGATTTATTTCAAATATTGCTGTATTTTCAGGTTTCTTCCAAATCTTAATTCCACTCTGATTTTTTCTTCCTTCTTTTTTTTTTTTTTTTAATATATTCACTTAATTTCTTCCTCTCTCCTCATCCTCTCTTCCTGTTTTCCATCCTTCCTGGTGTTTGTTTATTCACACTTACTGGTTTCATAATACTGCCATTCATTGGGGTAGGTTGCAGACATCTCAGTAATAAGAAGCAGTAGCACATTTCCCAGCTTCCAACTTCTGCCTAGGGGGCCCCGTCTCCACAAGTAGTGGAGAAGAGGAGGGGTACATCAGATTCAGTAGGAGCTGGAATTACTGTATATGGTGAACAAAACAGTGGCAAGAAAGAGAGCAAAGAAAAGCTCAGAAACATACAGGCTGCCACCCTAGGCTAGAGCCAGTGTCCCTCTAGCTCAGTTTCCTGCTCCTCAGCACTTGACTGCACTCTTTGCTTCACTCCAAGTCAAGTTTTATTTTAATTTTCTATGCCTTAAATCCTGGAGGACCAGATTGTATGATTAGTAAGAAATTCCCTGTGCTGCCCTGTGTCCTCATTCATAACGCACTGGAGTGTGCATTCAGAATAAGGAAAATGAGAGGAGATGTAGGTGGCAGATTTCCTTCATCATCCTGAATTTTATGCCAGTTTATTTCCATGTTCCTGATCCATCCTCCCTTCTTTTGTTTCTTTTCATCACAGTTGCACCCCTGTCTACACTTCCTCTTATTGTCCACTTCACCCTCTCTCTGCAGTCTTCCTTCCCATCTGTCTTCCTCCACACCTTTTCTTTAGTCTTCTAAAGTGTTGTACTTAGTGTCTATGACCAGATCAGGGAAAGAACCAGTGAAGCTGAGAGGGAGTGGGGAGAAAAGTAGGTACACGCTGCAGACAAGCTTCTCTTCTTTTTGCCACCAGCACAGATTTCCACAAAGCTCTGCAGATGAAACCGTCAGCACTGCTGTCCCCCAGCACTTCAGAGCAGGGAGTCTGGCAATGGGCAGGGACATGTTTTATTTGTACTGAAATATGATTTTTTTTAACCAGTCTTTATTCCATTCTCAAACATAATGTATTCTGAAATGGTGGGTCTAAAGCATATTGTTAAGGCATTTCTTTTCCCTGTAAGAGACAAAAGAGACATACAATCGGAATTTGTGTTTAGTATAATATGTATGTTATATTAGGAGAAAGTCATGCCTTTGACATCTGTAATATAATGACAATTTTGTCTATCTAATGAGTTTTATCTGTCTATCCCATCTAATCTCATCAAACTTAGTATTTATCCCGTGCTTACCATCAGAATAGTGCAAGTGATTACAAAATCCATTAAATAGTTTAATCACTGATTTTTTTCCTTTCTATTCACAAGTAAACATGTCTGAAAAGGAGACTGAGAGATGGGTAGAAGACTCTGATAAAAAAGTTGACTTGAGGAAGGGTGATTTTCATTTAGCCCTGAAAGTTACATTTTGATCTCCTGAGGAAAAGACTTTTTAAAATCGACATAACAGCCCATGAGAAAGCTCTTTCTCCAAACTGTATGTACTTTTGTGGCTGACAGTTCAGTAGCTCCTGAAAATATTGATGGCCCTGGACTTGAAAATACAGGACAAACAGGTGGCTTGGGACAGACCTGTTTATACCTCAAAAGCCCGAGTATGGATTTTTCCTGTACTGATATTTTTCACTGTGGGTTTCCATTTGGTACTGTGTACTGGTTTTATTTTATGGTATTGATGATCATCAACACTCTGATCTAGATCCCCAATTACAGAGCAGCTATTGACCGGTCCCCAGTATAGCAACACTCAAAGGTAAGTCAAGCCAGGTAGTTTTGACTAGACCTGTGATATGGAAATACTGTGTTTGATTTTTACTTAGTACCCTCATTAATTTTTCCTGTTGCTGCTCCTTTAAAGTGCAGATCTTGGCATGTTCCTTAAGTCTTTTCCTCTGCCATTGTGTGTGCAACTGAAACCTAAAATGACAAGCCAGGCACACAGTTAGTGCTAGCTGGAGTCCTGCACAAAGAGGTGGGGAAAGAGGTCTGTGAGGGCAATTCATTGCCCATACATGAAGGGGAGGCAGTGGCATGTGGTTCTCTCATACAATAAAAACCCTCAAACATCAATAAGAAGTCATGGTATTGGAAAAGAGCAAGCCTCCCAGCTGCCCCGCAGCTCAGAGCTGCTAACACAATGTATGCCTGAGGATCCCATATATGAAACAGGACCTGCCAGTTGTGCACCCCTTGCTACACAGCATCTTGCTGACTATCAGTCCATCAAGGAGTCTGTTCTTCACTGGCCAGGCCTTTATTCCTGTAGTATCCACAAAGTCTGATTTAGGACAAGCCATGCCAAAGGTGTTTGCTTTTTTTTTGTTAAGGGAAAGATGCCAAGCCCTGAGTGACCTGATCTGACTGTGAAGTTGACCCTGCTCTGAGAGGGGGATTGGACTAGACAACATCCAAGGTCCCTTCTGACCCAGGCTATTCTAGGTTTCTGTATTCGTGGAAACCTCCTGGCTGGCCAGCTACTTTCTGTCTTAGGACTTAAACAAGCAGTGAGATCATCTCACTGTGATTCATGGGCAACTTAAAAAATCTGTTAATTTGAAGGAACTTAAACTGTTTATCTAAAGGGAACCGTTTGTCCAGTGCTACTCAGGGTACCGAGTTTTGTACTGCAATTTACACTATTCTATGTTTTTTTCCTATCATCCCCATTTACTTCAAAAATGAGGACCGCTTTAGTAAAATTCAGCTTTGCCAGTGCACATGCAACCTGTAGTTGCACAGTCCTTTTCATTAGCTCTTTATTCAGATTAAATGGGGCTTTGAGGTCCACAAGAATCTTGCATCCTGCAGTACTGCCTTTCTCGGTCTGTCCATGCCTGGAGGCAAAAGACAGGGGAGAGGAAGAGAGATTGTGTCTTCCTGGAAAGTACAGCCGGCTGTGAGACCTAATTTTAGGTTCACGAGACCTTGCACCTTGGCAGTGTCCTTTCACATTGCTGATAATGCTGTTTTGGCACAGAGCAATCACTATTTGAGGAATGCAGCTGGCAAGTTGAACTGTGTGGGGGGGTTAACATTTGTCACAGTTATCAGGGTAGCTGCACCGCTGACCCCTTTTGGCTGGCCCCTTCATGCCTACGCCTCTGTGGATAAAACCACATAATTACCCCCTCATTAAGAGGGCCCAGCTCTCAAAGGTCACCCACACTCTTCTTCTATTATGTCTCACTGCATAAAGTGTGTCTGTAATTCTTCCCTTCAACACCTTGTGACTAGAGCTCCATATATGACCACAAATAGCCTTCTGGGGGAAAAAGTAGTGTTTATTCCTCTGCACAAGAGAAAGCAGAGCAAAATAGAGGGGCTTTAAAATAAACAATCCCCTTGTTTGCCTCTCTTGCAATAATCAGTCCTGCTTTACCCTAAGCTTGTGAACCTTGGAGACCAGATTTGGTAGGTTCTGTGGAAGTGAAGCCTTCTGGCTTTGATGGACTTTGGAAGAACTTAGCTTGAGTTTTTCATCTGGTTTTGGAAGCCTTGCTGGAAAATGAAAGTCATACCTCTTCCTCACTGGCAGACTGCTTAGCTGAACTCCACAAGAGGACTGAAAGGAAAATGTCAAATCAAAAGGCACACAGATTGTTTTTTTTTTTGGAAGGATCACTAAATATATGGATATTTAATATCTTTAAAGCTATTGTCACATATGTGCTGTAGCACAGACAATCCCTTGTATTCATACAGCGAGATGTTTTTACAGCAGTAACATAAACAGAGAATAACTAGATATGCATTTTTACAAAGATGCTCCTAATCTGCTACATGAGCCTTAACTTTGCTGTCCCTGGAGAGAGTTCAAAACTGAGTTTTAACTGTGGTGGTGAGGTGCTGAAGCTCTTCAAACTGCAGGCAAACTGTGAGACTGAAAGGTAGATTCTCTTGGATCTTCAAAAGCAGCAAACACCATTTTTCCTGACATTTCAAACAGGAGTTTCCTGCTGCTGGAGCTATGCAGTGGTTGTAGCCGCATGTGTTTCTGAAGAGCCTTCTATATGCCAGCTCAGCACACAGCTCATCTCTGCAGCATCCCATGACTTGGGAAGTCTCTGCTGGGCTACTCTGCTTCTGAGGCTACTGCGGGGGGTTGGCATGGAGAAATTAGAGCTAGCCCTCTCCAGACTGGTTAATTTTAATTTTTTTTTTAAAGTTAGAGAAACTACTCTGCAAGTATCTTTTGGCCTTGGAAATAAAGCTTGAAAAAAAATAGGTGCCCAGTGTATATTCTTCCACAGTATGGTCACGAAAAGCTCCTTTTATAGCTTTGGCAGGGTTTGTTTGTCCTCTGACAACAGTGCAGAGCAGGGCCCTGTTGTACTGCTGTGTAGTCCTGACTTAAAGCCTTTGCAGTCTCCTAGCTTTCGCATATGATACATTGACCAAATTATGAATATGTAGAACATCACTAATGATGAGTCACAACAGGTTTCATTATTTTTTTCTGAGAGGTGTCTTGCAAATGCCTAATAAATCCATCCACACTTTTAAAATTACTTTAAAGAATACTAAACTTAATTCATTTGTAGGTGGTTTATATTTGTTGCCAGAATATTGCCAATAGGGAATTGGTAAGTTTGCAATTGTAAAGCCTCCAAAATTTGAGATCTAGCATCAATGCAGATATGACACCATCCTCTTTGTCACACAGGAATTTATATAGCACACTTTTCTCACTCATCTGTAGTCATGATTTTTATAAAATTGAGCTTTTACCCATACTTCCAATTCCTTTTGGCTGTCTAGAGAAAAGCACTAAACTGTACATTATCTCAACAGGATCAGGTGAAGGAAGACTCTACATTCAGACCAAAACAGATTTTTTTTTCAGTGGTTGCTTTTTGTTTAGATGGCCTTTGCACTTATAAAGGTTGGGACTATCAAGCAGAAAAATTACATATTTTGAGAGACCTCTAAACAGGAATGTAGATTCTGTACCTTTGGGTCGACTCTTCAGCTCCTCTACTATGTTGATAGGTGATACAGAAAATAGCGAGGAAAAATGAGTGGATGAATGTTTGTCTTCCTGTGAAAACACAGTGATTGATAGATCCTGCGTAGATATGTGGGAATCATGTACATTTTTACTTAGCTGTACTTGAGGGGGAAAAAATAAAGAAGAAAACAATAAGCAAAGAAGTCCTGCAACAGTTAGTTCTGCTTGTTGATTTCAGGTTACCGCATGAGATTAGGATCTAGCACAGACAAAAAGGATTCAGGTCGCCTTCATGTTGATTTTGCTCAGGCAAGAGATGACTTTTATGAATGGGAATGCAAACAAAGAATGCTGGCCAGAGAGGAACGCCACAGACGCAAAATGGAAGAAGACAGACTGCGCCCTCCTTCTCCTCCGGCAATAATGCATTATTCTGAACACGAAGCTGCTTTGCTGGCTGAAAAATTGAAAGGTAAGCAGCATTTGATACTTTTCAGTGTATTATTCCTTAAGAGCAGGAGCCATCCAGAAGTCAGAGCAAGGGAACTGATTTCTCTCTGATGTATTTCATTACTTGCCCTGTTAGCTTTCCCCCATTCCTCTGCCATTTCTATGCCAATGATAATGATACTCACCCACCTGCTAGAAATGTATAACGTCTGTCCATCTGCCTATGCTGTAACAGCTAAAACTCAACCTTCAGAATACTACAGTGGGGTTTAATTCTGTTCAGTTGCTGTCATCATCTGCCTTGGAAATGCTCTCATAAGAAGACAACCTGTTACAAACATAATTAATATTAAAGGCCTGATTCTTAAAATGTCTTTATTCCTTGACTGATAGGTTACTACATTACATTCATGCAATTGTGCCAATTCCTGGCATTTAAATTTCCCTCATGAGCTGCATTTTAACATGCCCCTCAGTTGCAGTAGTACAACTTATCTCTGACACACACCATCCAGTCCTTCATTCCCTCTTTAGGGTTAGAATTACTTGTGCAAGATAACGTCTTGTTTTGGTATGTGTTTGCTTGCTTGTTTGTTTTTTTCTAGGTACACTTACCAAGTTAATGTTTTTCAAGGATACAGGTTAAGGATTCCTGTCTTTAATGCTTAACATAAAAAGTAAAAAGCAAAGAAATGCAATTATTCATAGTAAAGAAATTAAAAAAAAAAAAAAAAGATCAAGCAAACAACTCCCCATGCCCCTTAGAGTTGTGTTTGTTTTCATTTAGTGTTTAACAATTGTGTTTGGCATTCTTTCTCCACATGGTGGCCAAGCACGTTGCTTACTGTGTGCCAGATCACAAGAAACTGTGATACTTGCCACTGTTTCAGAATTATCCTGATTAAACTTAGGCTATCTAGCTGTCAACACACTGGCCTCTGTTCTAACTATGAAACATGTTTGAGAAGCCAAAGGACAGCTCGAAGTGTAGCATCCTTGGAGCATGGAGCAGAGATGCACCCTACTGACTCTTTGAGTACTGCGTTGGTTGCTGTTAGTTGTTGCTGTTACCTCGGTCTGTTATTCATTTGTCTGACTGATATTCTCACCACATACACTCATCTATTAAATAATTCATTAAGTAACTGGGAGATTGGTAAAATAATCCAGATGTATTAGTAGACCAGGAGAAAAGGAGGAAAGAGGCCCAGATATAAGAATTTTTAATTCTTACCCGGCTTCCTGTCCAGCTCCTCCAGAGGTTATACAATACAATACAATATGGGGTTTTAGATCCATCTGTTCCCAGAATCTGTTTTCAGTTGAATATTTTAGGAATTAATGTTTTATAGGGAAGTTTTTCTTTATGTAGTAGGGCCTAGAAGTTTCCTGAACTAAGCCAGAAAATGCAAGAAGTCTGGACGATTTCTTCCATATGGCTAGCCATTGCTCGGGGTGACTGAATGTGGGTTTTTGCAAGATGTTAAAGATGGCTATATTTAGAAGGGTTGTTCTTTTAATTCTGGGAACTTTCCATACTTGATTAAAACTTATTCCAAGCATTTAGATCTTTGGTTCTCCTGAGGGACATTTGACCAGAGCTTGGCATATATGCACAAGTTTCATATAGAAGTAGTTTGAGCACGATACAAACCAACACCATGTACATTACTATTTCTCTGGAAATAAAGATAAACTTTCAGAAACATACAGAATTAAATATAATAAATTAAGAGTCCAAAAAGCTAAGTTTATTTTTATCGGTTAGAAAATAATTAAAATCCATCAAAAGAACACATTGCAATTTTTAAAACTTTGCTAATTAGCAATTGCCTTGTAGTGAGATTAATGGTGCCAGCCCTGGATATGTACAGATTGTTGGGGATGGAGAAGAAGCTCCCTCTCTTCTCACTGGTCATGAGTTGTCTCCTGTACTAGGTATGCTAGATAGCAGAAGTGGGGTTCAGTCATTAGACTTGTCTGCTTTACCTTTCCTGTGGGATTATAGCCAGTATCTGTAAGGCAGGGGTAGAACATTATGGTCTCCCTTAGGCACTATGGATTCACCATACGAGCCCTGTGTGACATCCTAAAAACAGAAGTAAAGCAACACTAAAGAAACTTCTTTAACTCTGGCAAAGGGCAGTTCATATCATCATACTTTCACAATATAAATGTAGGCTTCAGTGAAGCTAAATATATGTACACACACATTTACACACACACACACACATATATATATGTATATAAAACTTGGCATCAAAATCTCAGGTCTCTGGATATCACCAGATTTGCATTTCTGCAAAAGCCCAGACATTTCATCCTAAAGGAAAGAAGGATCACAATATATCTGTTATTGTCAGGATTTACCTTGAAAGACTGTTTTTGAGCAGATGCTTTGCATCTTGTTTTCTTAAGGAAAGTCATGACCTTCCCATGGTACCCACTTCAAAAGACTCCTGAGGTCTGCTGCCAGCTCATGAGACAGAGCTGCAGGTGCCCAACATGCAGATTTCAGCTCCTACAGTGCCTCCAGAGCTTCACTGAGCAATACTAGCTGAAAAGCAAGCCAAAATAGCTAAACATCTGTCAGCCCAAGATACTGATTTGCAATCACAGATGTAGACAAGTTGGTCTCAATCCAAGCAACTTTTGTTGTCAAAATAACCTTGGATAATCTTGACAGCAAGGAAATCTGATGGTGAGCAGAGATGAACTAGGCTCATCAGACAGTCCCCTGTTGTGGTCTAGATATTTATTGAGTCTATAACAGAGGTGACAATATCTTTTTTCACCTTCTGCAAACTGCAGAATAAGACTTAAAGAAATCATTGGTTTTGTGTACCAAACTTGGCTGGAAACTCTCACCCCAGTGTTGTCAGCATATTCCTATTCCTCTCATGTGCTGAAATCACCTGGTACAGCAGTAACTGTAATAGAGGAGAGTGAGTGAGAGAATACAGAGGATCTTTTATGGCTGTTGTAAACAAAAGTCCATTATAAAATTTCAGCCAGGTGGTCTCTACTGGTGTGGAGCTTCATAGAAAAAACAACTGGTTTCTCAAAATGCACTGCCAGGTGACTGGGGCTGGGAGCTTGCTGCATATGAGACCTTGTATACATACAAAACCATGAAGATTTATGACTTTATGTCAGTGATAAAAGGAGGACTAGGGAAAATGTGGGCCCCTTCTGGAAGGGAGCAAGAGACGTGTCTACCCAGGATACTGAGAAGGCTGAGGTACTTAACGACTTCTTTACCTTAGTCTTCACTGTCAAGAACTCAAGCCACACCACCCAAGTTGCAGAAGGCAAAGGCAGTGACTGGGAGAAGGAAGAACTGCCAGCTGTAGGAGAAGATCAGGTTCGAGACCATCTAAAGAACCTGAAGGTGCACAAGTCCATGGGACCTGGTGAGATGCATCCGTGGGCCCCAAGGGAACTGTCAGAAGAAGTTGCCAAGCCACTATCCATCATATTTGCAAAGTCATAGCACTCTGGCGAATTTCCCACTGACTGGAAAAGGGGAAACAAAACCCCCATTTTTAAAAGGGGAAATAGGGAAGACCCGGGAAACTGCAGGCCGGTCAGTCTCACCTCTGTGCCTGGCAAGATCATGGAGCAAATCCTCCTGGAATCTGTGCTAAGGCACACGGAAAACAAGGAGGTGATTGGTAACAACCAACACAGCTTCACCAAGGGCAAATATTCATCAGCCCCTTGGATGAGGGAGTAGAGTACACCTTAAGCAAGTTTGCTGATGATACAAAACTG